AAGAAACTCAAAAAGCAGGAACATTTACTTGAACGGAGTGCTGGAGCATTAAGGCGTAGTTCTCATACTCACTCATCTTGGCATTCCGCTCAAGATCGCCTGGGAGGAGTAGAGCAGTACTGAGTGCCACGCCGACGTTTATATCATCGGCGCTGTCGCTGGCAAGGACAGGCTTATCTTCTAGAGTAATCTCAGGTGTCCAGGGGACTTTTGGTATTCTAGAACCCGAGGTCGTCGCAGACGATGACCTCGGCTTCTTTGACTGTGTGGACTCAGAGGGTTGGGTTTCAGCAGACCTTTTTGCAGGAGCAGAAGAAGTCTTCTTACTCCCTGCCAATAATTGGCAGAGTATTTTCAGTGTCAACTACAGTGGCTTTGGCCTTGGGCTGAGCCTTTTTTATTCTTTTTGGCTTTGGTGGGGGCATGGATTGAGTTGGAACAACATCAACGTCGGCAGGTAGGTCGGCTAAGAGATCAACAGCAACAGGCTTCCGGCGACCCATCTCAGCAGTCTTAACAAGTCGTCGCCGACGTTTTCTTTCTGGTATTGGGATTAAGTATGAGACTGAAGTAGATGGCAGATCAGCTGGGTCAGAAGTGGATCCTTGGTCTGCTCGTGATGTGGAAGCAGTGGAAAGAGTTATGGCAGAATGTGGAGAAAGACTCTTTTTCTTCTTCTTCGGGACGTCGGACAGAGTGGATTTGTACGTAGGAATAAAGTTTAGAAGAAGATGTGCTTTTCTTTTGTGGACAGGCAAGTCCAGGAGCTTTTTCAGGTCCTTGCTAGGAACGTAAGATTGGCGAAAGTCTTTCGCTGGCTTGCGAACGTTTGCAAGAAGAAACAGACATTAGAAACAGATAAAATGTTGAAGACTTGAACAGAAATAACTAAGTATTGACACTGGGCTCTTACCCTTGCCCTCTTTAACTAATCGGGGAAGAGGGTAGAGATGGGCGTCCTCGTCTGCGCCAAACTCCCAATTTCCCAAAGCAATAACATAGTCATCTCCAGCCGCCTTGTTGGAGTCTGGGAGGTCGGTTACGATTTTGAATTCAGTGGACCTCGGCTTGAGGTAATAGACGTAACCTTTTTCCTTCAGGTTAAGGGGGCACATGGTGTAACAATACTGTATATCGGTTAGGGTAATTCTAACGTTTTCTTGTCTGGCTAAAGCGATGATACCAAAAATCACTCGATAAGAGTTTATGGCAAGTTGCATAGGGTTCAACTTATAATAATGCAGAATCTCGCGAAAAAGGATGTTAAGTGGAAGCCGGAGTCCGCACTCAGTAAAGGCTACAATAGGTAGGGGCATGGCATTTTCGGTAGGCATGATGGAGTCATCATCCCCAGCCAGTCTCAGGTGGACATCGGCAAGGACGGAGAACTCCTGCCTAAGTTACTCAAGTTTGGTTGGGGTATCTACCCTATGTCTCCACATACCCATAACGTTGGCCTAAAAACAGAGGGCTAGGTTTCAGAAGGAAGGTGCTCTTAAGGGGTTATCGGGACCTCGGCGAAACCCTAGGTATATGCTGGTAAGGATTGTTTCAGTTTTCCCTAAAAATTGAAGGTTCTATAGACAAAACCTAAACCTAAATCTATGAAGGCAAAGATTGAAAGCAAAATTTAAAAGCAGAAATCTGGAAAAACAAGAAACAAAGAACGACGTTTCAGAATCAAAGAACAAAGGAATGGTTCTCAGAAGCGAAAGAAATACAGAAGTAAAAGGTCAAGAACAGTGGCAAGAAAAGTGTTGAAACAATGCAAGTGTTCAAAACATGAGTGAAATCATGGAATATACGCATCCAGATGAATAGTTCAGCAAATCAAAGGTTTGAACAAAGCAATAATGGCAGTAAGTAAACGAAAACACATAGAAGAAATTGGGAATGAGAGGAACAGAGGCTTACCAGAACAAATGAAGCCGGAATGAAAGTCGCCGAGGTAAGGCAACGGTTACAGACACGACGGAACGACGAAAGCTTCGCTGAAATGGAAGAATGAAGACGGTTGCAGAGCGTGAAGCTATAGGAATGGCGGATTTGGGAAAGTTTAAGAGAGAGAGAAAGCCAGAAAATCAAGTGCAAAAGTAAAAAAATGAAGAAAGAAAGTAAAGTTTTATCAAAAACTTGAAACGGCGGCAAAACAGGGCATTTATTGCGCCTGGAGGAACGCATGCGTCAGACGGCACAAACAGATAAAAGACGGCTTACAAGCGCGTCACAGACACGGGCAAATAAAGATAGAACACGTAAGGGGAACGGTTGAGAAGAGATGCATGACAGCTCATGCGCGTGGGGAAGAGAACACGTCGGCCTGAAAATGAATGATCTTCGGCTAAAACAGTTTTTAAGGCCAATTATGGCAGAAAGAAATATCGATATAAGTTCCATCACCTCAGAATGCGACCTAGGGGCAGTTGTGGGGATATATTTTCTGAATACCAACATGTGGCAAGGTGACGCCGACGTGTCAGCCGAGGTGCCACGTGTCCTGGTCGTGATGCCGAGGTGATCTCGGCAAGGCCGAGGTTATCTCAGAAGATATCGGAATCCGAGATAAGCGGATAAGGGACAAGAGTCCTAGAATGAAGAAGGAACTCAACCTGGATAAGGACAAGAGTCCTAGATTGGAAGAAGATTTCAGTTTAGGTAAAAATAAGACTCTTAGAGAGTTTATCCTAAACCCAATGAGAGTCCTAGATTAGCAGTAATCCTAAGTCCATTAGAGCCAGGCTCCTTTTAGGACTAGGATTGTATTGACTATAAAAGAGAGGCACCCCCATGGGTCTAAGGTATGCTTTTGATACTCAAGCTTGTGAGTTTAGTACTTGATTTATCTTTGAGAGATATACTGACTTGATCGTCGGAGTGCCCCCGGGTGGTCGAAACCACCGCGGGATTCTTATATTTCTATTGCAGGTCAGTCAGGTGCCATCTATTCTGCCAGTGCTCTCCAGCTGGTTACTAAGTGGGCAGTGTGGTCGAAAAATCACCCACACACAATCTATCCATATAATTATGTATAGGTTGTGCAATGGCATACACCCCATATGCAAATTATAATATTTGTTAGATTGATTATTACAAATGTAATCTTTTTAGCATCATAACTAAAAAAAATAAGTCATAGCTATATATCACATAAGATATAACCAAAGATTTTTTAGATCGTAACCAAAATAATATCATAACTAACATTAATATAGATCGGAACTAACACCACAATGTGTATAAACAAATTATAACTAACATCATAATAGATTATAACCAAAGACATATGATATACACCCCAAGAGAGTTTGTATAGTAGAATTTTTCATATATATATATATATATAGGTTTAGTTCGTATGACTTTAATATATTTGGATGGAGAATTTTTCATATATATATATATATAGGTTTAGTTCTCAGATTAATTGGATTTAGGCGCCTAAACCAAGAGTCAATCAAATTTTATAAAATTGATGATTTAAAAACCAAAAAATAAATCAATGTATTAAAAAATTGAACCAAACTAAATAACCTAAAGAGGTCGGGTAAATACATTTATTCATAACTAAAATGATAGTAATTGAGGATTATAATATTTGCACCCAAAAAGGATGGGTTGGTTTGGTATATGAGTTAATTTTTTTTATTTTTTGACTATTTTAATTTAGAATTAAAGTCTTATTTGACATACACTTTTTAATTTTTTTAACTTTTATAAAAAAATAATAAAATAATTATAATTTAAATATAATATTTTATGTTATTAAATTAAAAATTTTATTTTATTTTTTATAATTATTTTAGACCAGACTCACCCCAACCCAACTTGCAAACGAGTGCTTAAGAATTTCCGAGCCTAATAAGCCTCCGTTTGGGAAGTGGGTTGGCTTTTTGGCTTTTTGGCTTTTTTGGCTATTTTAGCCTGGGCTAAAAAGCTTGGTTTGGGAATGGCTTTTTGGCTTTTTGGCTTTTTTGACTTTTTTTTTGAGAGAAGAATGTAATGATTATAGGTTGGATGTGATGTTTTGTTTGTTATGATTAAAATAGCCTATTTTGTTTTTTGTGGCTAAAATAGCCAAAAAAGCCTGAAAAAGCCCTTGCCAAACACAGGCTAAGATTGTTTAGCTGTGTGGGAATGGAGAAGTTATTTGGTAGGGCTGGGGCGTCATGAAAGGAGTGAAATTTATAATTTTGTGAAGAAGTAATTAGGAACTCTTAAAATACAAATATGTGATGGTTTAAGATAGGTTCAGCTTGTCTCAAGTTGAGATCAAGATTGGACTCGTCCAATCCGATCTATGGGGCTTATTTTTTTGGCCCGTTTTGATAATCTGTACCGTTTAATATGTAGAACTCGTTGAGTACTATATGCCTAGAAAAAATCACGTTGATCGAATATCAATAGTTATGTGATCAAATCAGTTTTGTATTAAAAAAAATGAATGGTGAAAAAATTAATGGTTGATAAAAAACTATTTTTTTTCACATAGCTATCAATATCCGATCAATGTGATTTTTTACAAGCATATAGTACTCGACGAGTTTTACACATTGAACGGTTCAGATTATTAAAATGGAACCCGTGGTAGACCCTCACGGGCCCAACAGTATGGTCCAGTCCGATCTTGGACTGGACCAAAGCCACTGCCTTAAGATAGTATGATTGATAAAAAAATATAAAATTTATAATTTTATGTTAAACGATTAAAAACCATAAAGAAACATAAAAAATGATAATTAATGAACGAGCATAGACACATGATATTTTGAAAATATTTAATAATCTATATATTTTAGAAATACCTAATAAATTTTTTATTTTTGCATTAAATAATTGAAAAACATAAAAAAATATAATAATTTATGATTGATCAAAGTCATGGTCTGATGTCTCTACCAACAAATAAATTTTGGTGGAGATGGCTTAATACATTTCCCAAAACAAATCAACATTCCTAATCACATTTTTCTCTTTTTTTTTAATCTTTGCAAGCAAACAAATTAATAGAGAAATTAAAGCAATCAAATATCAAAAGTAACCAACACATCCTGAGTTTTCATAAATTAATCTAACATATCATCACAAACTTCACTTAATCGCATACAATACCATGAGATTACAGCTAAACACACAGATTTTGAGAGAGAGAGACTAGGCCAGTGGACGGTAATCGGCGCGAGTGATATTGCGATCGACGCAGAGGATCACATAGAGAGCGTAAACTATTCCAGGAATGTAACCTAAGATTGTCAATACCAAGCATATGAAGAACTCTACCTGCAATCCACAATATACATATACATATATAAATATACATATAAGTGTGTGTGTATATATATATAGAGAGAGAGAGAGAGAGAGAGAGAGAGAGAGAGGGAGAGGAAGGGGCTTACGCTGCAGCAGCCATGCCTGATGCAGACCCCGATAGGAGGGAGCAAGATTGCGATCAAGATTTCGCAGAAGATCACACAGCAATTTGTCATGGTTGAGTCGAATTTAACAGAGAGGAAGAGAGAGTTTAGAGAGAGAGAGAGAGGGAGAGATGTGTGTGTAATGTGAACCACAGGCTGGACCCCAGGTAGTCTTAATGGTGAAGGAAACAAATAGATGGGAACCACTTGGTTTGTTCAATGTCGGCATAATAAACAAATTAAAGATGTCCTGTGTATGTGTTGTTGGGAAGCTAATTTTTTAATTAGAAAAAAATTTAAAAATTAAAAAAAAAATAATGAAATAAAAAATAAAAATCAAATAATTAAAAAGTCATTTAAAACAATAATACAAATCAAACTTTTATGTCTTTTTATACAATTTAAAATAATCATTTTCATATGGAACTAATTTTTTTCGCTTCATAGAAAAGTTTTTGAGCCTCCGTTTGGGAAGTGGGTTGGCTTTTTGGCTTTTTGGCTATTTTAGCCTGGGCTTAAAAGCTTGGTTTGGGAAGGGCTTTTTGGCTTTTTGGCTTTTTTGAGTTTTGTTGTGAGAGAAGAATGTAATGATTATGGGTTGGATGTGATGTTTTGTTTGTTATGGCTAAAATAGCCTATTTTGTCTTTTGTGGCTAAAATAGCCAAAAAAGCTCAAGAACCAACTTGCCAAACAGAGGCTGAAGAAGGCAAGCCCCAACCAATACTTTAGTTGGGGGAATTTGATAAACAATATAATAAGTTTAATATAGTAAACAAATGTGATGAGATTCAGTATGTTTGGTTTCAGTTTTTTATCTAATTTTTTGAAAATTGAGTTTTTTATTTTTTGATTTTTTTTTATTTTTAGTGAATATTTTTAAAATTTTAAGCATTTTTTTACTTTATTAGATGTACCTTACTTAGATATATTTAAAAAATAAAATATTTGTGAAAAAATATTTAAAAAAATTAATAAATATACAAAAATATGAAAAATATATTAAATTTTCTTTTTTTTTATTTTTGGTATTTAGTGAATTTTTTAAAGATTTTTTTCACGAAAATTATATTTTTTAATTGTATTTATGTTAGGTGTGTCTAAAAATTAAAAACAATTGCTTAAAATATTAAAAAAATTCAGTAAAAATAAAAAAATATAAAAAAACAAGAGAGTAAATTTTTCTGAAAAGTGTTTCCAAAAAATTAGAAATAAACATATTAATAGTATTTGAAGAGGGTTAATATATATGCTCCGCTTACGTGAGGTGACGCCATTCTTTGAGCAGTATACATTCCTTCACTCTAGTTTTCAAACTTTAGCATCAGAGAGATTTTCAGCCAAACCTTGGCAGGGAAGCTTTAACTGTTTGTTGTCTATGCAACATCCAGTACTAGGATTATCTAGTTCGGCCACGAAGCTCTACCTGTTCTATAGTTTGAAGTTACCCCACATATGTCTGGTAAAGTTGTGAAAAAGTGATTATAAATTATAGGATAAATTATATTTACCTCCTTTGAGGTTTCTGACAAATACAGGGACCTCCCTTGTGGTTTGAATAATTACAGTAACCTCCCCTACTTTACCTGACAATATCAAGATTCCCCCATGCTGTCAAAAATCACTAAACGGTGTCACTTTTTCCTTCAGAAATTACTTTATTGCCCTTCCCTTTAAAAATATTAAAAAATGTTTTTGGATTGGAGGATAAGTTTAGAGTGTTTGAAACAGTATTTTTAGATTTATTTTTTAAAAATATTAAAAAATGTTTTAAAAAAAATTATTTTTTACTTTAAATATATAATTTTTATTTAAATATTTTATTTTATTTTGTAAATATTTTAATATTTTAATTTTAATATTTTAAACTCAAAACACAATTTCACACTCAAATCGTAACCAAACACATAACTCAAAACTCAATTCAAAAATTTCCCAACACTAGCTGCGCACTTAAGTCAAAAATTTAAGCACCCCTTAACCAGCTTTTGAAATAAGTTGAGAAATAGCTTAATTTAAGTTGTAAACTGGTTAACTTAAGATTTACCAAACACAATATTTTAACTTAAATTAAGTTAAAAGCTAAAATAAGCAACTTATAAGCTCTACCAAACAGGCCTATAGTATTATTGAAACTAAGAACTTTGCTGTCATTAGTAAGTTAATGAGTATGGATCTCATATAATGTGAATCCTACCCCATATGAATATTATGTAAAAAAATTTAATTATTTTCTTTTAAAGAAAAATGCTAAAAACAAGTTTAAAAGTTGTTAGTGTTAAAAAAATGTGTAAAAAATATAAACGTGTATTGAAATGTGTAAAAATATTTTAAAATATAGTGAAATTATAATTTTGACATATTACAATGTTTATTGACAACTCTTAAAACTATCATTTTAAAGCGGGGGAGGTTACAATGTTTACTTGCACATTGTAGGAAAAGTTATAATTTTTGTGAAAGAAGTTATACATTTTATGAGACAAAATGAAAGTTATGAAATGTGCACATAAAAATCATGTATAATTAAAGTTATACTTTTTTGTGAGAGAAGTTACACATCTTGTGAGAAACAAAAAGTTATATTTTTTGTGAAAAAAAAAAAGGTTATATTTTTGTATAAAACTTATACATTTTATAAGAAAAATTATGATAGCATTTGGTTTAGTTTTAGAATCATGATTTGAGAATTGAGTTGTATTTTGATTTTGTGAGTTGTTGAATCATGATTTGAAAAGAGAAAGCTTGTTTGATTATGAGTTTTGAAAAGAGTTTTGAATTTTTGAAATGAGTTTTGAAATAAGAAAAGTTGTTTGATTATGAGTTTTGAAAAAAGTTTTCAAAACTTAATTCAAAAATTTATAATTCATAACCAAACATACAATTTAAAACTCTATTGAAAATTCTATTCAAAACTCATAACCAAACAATTTTTAAAATTCAATTCAAAAAAATAATTTTTTATTTAAAAATTAAAAAATTCTGAAAATATATTTTTAAAAAAATATTAAAAAATATATATTATTTTTTGTTTATGTACAAAATTTTCGTACAAAATAATGTGATATCTCGTGATTTCTTCATTTACAATAAAAATATCCATCATTACCCTCACTATTTTATAAATGTCACTACCGTGTCATTCTTGTTATAAATTTCACATAAAAATTCTATAAGCATATCATTTTTTATTTGATAATTTTGCAATATATTTGATTGGTTGATGTGTGGTTTTATGTAATGCATTATGTGATCTTTTTTAATTATCATGAATAATTAGTGCTTTGTGGTTGTGGATATGTCTATTCCTTCTTCAATTGTTAGAACATTTTTATTGCTCACAAGGTGTTTAAGATTTTGTCCTGATTAATTTTCAAGCAATAATATTAAGATGACTACATTTATATATATCACATTTTATTTGCAATCTCATATGTCATAATTGGATTACTCAATGGGTCACACCACTAATGTCTATTATCAATACACTACACATGATAGATGTGATGTATAAATGTGGTACACAAATACAAGGGTGGACTCAGGATTCGTCGATGTGATGGGCTAATATTAAGGTAAAATTATACAATATATTTTAAGTATAATCACATAAGAAAAAAAAGAATTTAATAATATAATCTAGATTAATATCTAAATTTATTGATTAGAAACAATCTAACTAAGTTGTACTTGATGAGTCTTTAAATATTTGAATTTATCGATTATAGAATCTAGATCAATTTTCAAAAAGCATGAAAAACGATATGTTTTATCTTTTGAAGGAGAATACCCTAGCCAATAAAATTGTTTAAACCAAATTTATTGAAATCGGTGATTCTACTTTTCAAATGAGGACCTAGGATACTCAAGTTTAGGTTGGTAAGGCCTCAAGTTCACATACGCTCGTCTAATTTCATCCCCTTGATTAACCGGATATTTACAAATTTGCAAACGTAAACCAGGATCCCGTTCAATTACAGTTGAATCAAATTTGCTTGGTTTATTTGTTTAAGGCATGGAACGCGGTTGCACATACGAAAATGAGGTTTCAACAACATTGGATGTTGTACTACTAGACTTCTGTTTTGATTGATAGAATGAGAAAATGGTTGTCTTTTTTGAGTGTGGAGGTTCCATTATTTATAACCTAAATTTTTTTAGCCCTATTTAATATTAAACGAGAGTATATTCGCAATAATTTTAAATATTAGGATTTTTATATATATCCTCAATAATTTTTATTTAAGCTTTTATTATTTTTATATATGTCCAAAAAAACTCCTTTAAAGTTCAAAAACTAAGATTAATATAGAATATTGAATAAGGCAGTATCATAAAAAAAATTAAGAGCAATATAATATTTGTTGCATAAAGACAAAATTTCAAAGCCATTATTAATCAAATCCATTCTCAACCAAAGAAATAAAATAATTGACTAATTACACTTATAAAAAATGTTAGGAAAGTAAAGCTGTTGCAGGCTACTGGAGACGACGGAGAGGGCCACTGCCTATCTATTGGAAGATGTGAGGATTGTTTTGTAATGTTTGTTCTTTAAACAAATACAAACCTATTAGGCTGCCTATCTATTTTTTTGGATAAGTATTGGGCTGCTATTGGGCAGTCTATCTAAAAAACAAATAAAAAAACTATCCTTATTTAGGGCTGGGCTAAGAAAAAAAAAATTACAAATTTTTTAAATTTTAGACTGGACTACTGCCTCCTATGTCTAAGCCCTAAATCCGCCCTTGTAATCAAATAAAGGATTGAAATATAAGAGTGAAATCAGAATGAAATCAAACAGAGCCTACGCTTTTTTTCATAAGGGGCATATGCTGTGCACTATTTTCCTTTTAAGTCACCTAACACTGTTCAAATTGATAAGATTTTGACACGTATACTCACAAGGGAAATAGGACGTGCACGTTGCTAATGGGATAGCCGGATTAAAATCTTACACATTTTGATCACGTTTGTTTGATAAATTAAGTTGGATGCGATGATTAGTGAGAGAATTATTCGTGAAGAAGTTGTTAATGTGAGAATTATTACCGAAAAATTTTAGTAAAAGTGTGTTTGTTTGTTTGTTTGTAGGGAGCGTCTATTTGCACACGCTCAATCCTCTATTTGCACATCTTTCTTAATATACACACCTAAAAAAACAAAAAATAAAATA